ACAATACAAATATTAATTGGTCCAGGGATCACAAAAAAAAAAAAATACAGACTCAAATAGAAACTTAACAATTAAATCCTAAATAATTAGAAGTTTAAAAAACAAATCACAGAAATAATAATTATGTAAAAGAAAATGAAATTGATGAAACAATACACCAAAATTTCTAGGATACAATTAAAGCAGTCCTCAGGGAAAAATCGTATCCTTATAAACATAGATTAACAAAATGGAAATGAAATTAATGAACTGAATATGCATTTTAAAAAGTTGGAAAGCTAACAAATAACCCAATCCCAGAAAAGGAAATAGATCTGGTTGCAAAGGAACTATAAAAAAAATTGTTTTCCTTATGAATTCATAGGAGAATTCTATGAAACTTTGAAAGAATAGTTAAAACTCATATTTCATAAATTATTCTCAAAAATTCAGAAAGTATTTTGCCAGAATCCTTTTATAGGATAAATGAAGTCCTAATACCGAAACCAGGGAAAGATAAAACACAGAAAGAAAACTATAGGTCAATATCATTTATGAACACTGGTTCAAAAATTTTAAACAAAATTCCATCAAATGGATTACTGTGATTTATCCAAGAAATCATTCATTATGACCAAGGGGAATTTATGCTAGAGATGAACGGTACAACATTAGAAAAATAATCTACAAACTCAAAACATCCAAAACCACATGATTATCTTAATACAGAAAAAGCCTTTGAAAAAGTACAACACTCTTTTATGCTAAAAACTACAAAGTACAGGCATAAAGGGACCTTTTTTTAAAGCAATCATCATATACAATGGGGACACACTAGAACCTTTTCCAGTAAAAACAGGTAAAACAAGGATACTCATTCTTCCCACTATGATTTGATACGGTTCTAGAAATGTTGGCAATGGCAATAATTCAATTCAATAAACATTTATTAAGTGCCTACTAAGTGCCAGCCATTGTGCTAAGCACTAGGGATATAAAAAGAGGCAAAAGACAGTCCTTGCACTCAAGGGCTTACAATCTAATGGGGGAGACAATGTGCAAACAAACATATAGAAAGCAAGCTATACGCTGGAAAAATAGAAGGAATTAAAAGAGAAAGCACTGAAATTAAGAGGGGTTAGGGAAGGCTTCCTGTAGAAGGTGGGATTTTAGATGGGACTTAAAGGAAGCCAGGAAGGTCAGTAGTCTGAGCAAAGCAGGGAAAGCAAAAAGACAACAGAAAGATATTAAAGGCAAAAAGGTATGTAAAGAGGAGACAAAACTATGCTTATTTGTATCCTTAGCACTTAGCACTGGATGGTGCAGTGGACAGAGCACAGAGCTCCGAGTCAGGGAGACCTGAGTCAAATCTGGCCTCAGACACCTCCTAGCATGTGGCATAATTAACCTCTGGACAAGACATCCTCAAAATCTCTGGGTTGTCATGAGGATTAAATGAGAGAACCTATGTAAAGAGATTTGCCAACCATAAAATGCTAGCTATTGTCACTAAAATTACTATATAATCAGTGCCATTGGAAAGTAGTGGTTATCTCAGAATGGCAATAAATGTCTATTGACAGAACTCACTGTTACCTTGGGGAACAAAGAGGAGAAGCAATAAAGAATTATATATTAAGAACCTACTATGTGCCTGGCCTGGTGGATACAAGAAGAAAGAATGAAACAATGTCTATGTGCAACACACTTACATTCTTTTTAATGATAATACAGGCTTGATCTAGGGTCACTTAGACTTAACTTCTCTAAGTGGAAATTCATAAATCAGTCAGCAATGCCTTGGTCCATGAGGTGGTCACTCAGTCAAAGTAAGGACAAAGAAATCCATCTTACAGATGAGCAAACTGAGGCTTAGGGAAGTTAGTTCTAGCCCTGGCTCTCTGCTCTTACTTTGAAAGGCAATCTGGGGCCAGGCACTAGATTTTCTTCACTGATGATTCCATGTTTCAGTTAGCTGGTTCTGTTTTAAAAAGGGTCACTCAAACATTTGTCGACCACTTTTGTACCACAGCTCTTTGAGGTGGAGAGGCAGGTTTAGGTTGGACATACGGAAGTGACACCCTAGAAATGGGAGCTGCCCAAAGTGCCCCAGCCCACAAAAGACCTTCAACTGAAGGCCAGATAGTAGGGCTGTTGAGAATACTGAGGCAGGGGTTCTAAAGGTAGTACAAGACGGCTTGTGATTTCCTTTCCAAGCCTAATATTCTGTTATCTGATACATATGGCACAGATAGGCTTAACCCCATTTTATTGATGAAGAAATGGAGGCTTAGAGAATTAAGTGAATACATTCTTGACCTCAAATCTGGCTTCTTTTCCTTTCTGTCTTCCTAAAAGTCTATTCAAAGCATCATAGATTTAGGGCTAAGAGGCCTAAAAAGGCCATTGAGTCCAAAACCAAAAAATTATAAAGGAAGAAACTGAAACAGACACCCTGAAAATTAGAATGGACCAATAGAAGCCAATGAGTCCATGAGATAACAAGACATATTGAAACAAAGTCAAAACACTTGGAAAATAGAAGAAAATGTAAATCATAGTAAAAACAACTGATCTGAAAAACATGTCTAGAAGAGATACTTCATAAGAATCATTGGACTATTGGAAAGCCATGACCAAAAAAAAAAAAAAAAAAAGCCTTGACCATTATATTTCAAGAAATCTTATAAGAAAACTACTCAGATCTCTAAGAATCAGAGAACCATGTGAAAGAAAAAGAATTCCTCATTCTCCTGCTGAAATAAACCCCCAAGTGAAATATCCGGGAACATCATAACCAGACTGCAGAGCTTCCAAGTCAAAGGGAAAAATGGTGACAAATAGTCAGGAAGGAAGAGCGAAAGGCCCAGGGACATAGTCAGGATCTCATAAGATTAAGCAGCTACTCACTTTAAGAGAGCTTGAAATGATAAAACAATGACAATAATAATAAATAACATTTTTACAGCACTTTAAAATTTTCCAAGTGTTTACCACATTATCCCATTTTTCCCACAACAACTCTGGGAGGTGGGTGCTATTATTATACCCATTTTATAGTTGAGAATACTGAGGCAGGCAGCGGTTAAGTGACTTGCCCAAGGTAACACAGCTGGCAAGTGTCTGAAGCCAAATTTGAACTCGGGTAGTCTTGACTTGAGGTTGACTGCTCTAGCCAATGTACCACCTAGTCATCCCCCCAGAAAGCAAAGACTGTAGACATACATCAAAGAATAACCTACCCAGAAAAACTGAGTATAATCCTACAAGGGGGAAAAGGACTTTCCAAAGGACTTCCAAGCATTCCTGATGAAAAGACCAGAGATGCACAGACACTTTGATGTACAAACCCAGGAGCAGAGAGACAGAGGGAATAGTCATAAGGGATTAACCGAGAATAAACTGCTTTCATTCTAATGTGGGGAGATAATACACGTGTCCCTTTGCTTTATCATCATCAGGGATGTGAAGGACTATAAGAAGATAGGTATTTTGATGATCTTGGAAGAAGGAAAGGGAGGAAAAGAAGAACACATTTGGCAAGGGGAGGGAGAAGAATGACGGAAAATATCTTCCATAACCAGGGCGAGCAAGTAAAAGTCTACATAAATAAGGAGAAAGATGGGGAGTGGTGATGCCTGAAGCTCACCCTCATCAAAGGAAGGAAGAATGCACGCCCACCAAGCTCCACCCACACACCCACCTGTGCACACCCACAGAACTGGGCACAGAAATACCTTTCACCCAATAGGAAAACAGGATGGGAAAGGGAGAAATTAGAGGGTGGGTAGATTAAGGGAGGGATCAATCCTAAACAAAACAAACTGGATTTAAAAATATTTACAGCAGCTATTTTTGAGGCAGCAAATAAGTGGAAACTGGGGGAGGGTGCCCATCAACTGGGGGATGGCTGAACAAGTCGTGGTTTATGATTGGGATGGAATACTATTATGTTATAAGAAAGGACAAGGGGGATGCTGTCAGAAAAACCTAGAAAGACTTAGACGAACTGACGCAAAGCGAAATGAGCAGAAGGAGGATGACGACAACATCACAAAGACGAGCAATCTTGAAAGACCTGGGATTTCCGATTAGGATAACTTCAGGAGACTGAGGATGAAACACACTGCTCACCTCTAGAGAGAGACATGGGCTCAGAGCAGACTGAGACCATTTTTGGATGTGGCCAATAGAAGAATTTCTTTGTTTGACTCTGTGTATTTTTTAACAAGAGTGTCGTTTTTCTTTCTTCCCTAACGTGGGGGTGACAGGGTGAGAAGAGGGAACAAAGACAGACATTTTTTATAGAAAAAATTTTTAAAGGAGCCCATGAACTAAAAATAATTCCCTCAACAATATTGCCAAATAAGTGGTCAATCAATTGTTTGATGAAGGGGAACCCACGACCTCCAAAAGCATTCAAGCCTATGACACCTCTGGAGAGCCTCAATTTTTAGCAAGTCTGCCCTGGTATAAAACCTAAATTTGCCCCTTCACACACACACACTCTCTCTCTCTCTCTCTCACACACACACACACACACACACACACACACACACCCTCCAACCCCCCCACCCCACTGGGGCCAAACCAAGCCAATCTAATCTTTCTTTCCCCCACCCCAGAGGACTTCAGTACCTGAGCATAGCCATCCAGCCCCACCCCACCCCTTTCCTTTCTCTAAATACAACCACAAAGTTAATTCCCTTAGTCACTTATAAAGTAAAAGGTAGATGACCTCCAAGGTACTTATTCCTAAAATCTTCTGATCCAAGATATTCTCTAAGTTCTAAGCCTGCTTCCACATAAGACACTGGACTTTGAAACCTCTTTAAAACACTCCATCTTAGCATTCAAACAGGAAAATTATGCCTCAAGTGAAGCCTTTGAAAACCTAGGAAAGCCTCATTTTCCCAGCTGGTCACTGGCCAAATGATGGAGAGAGATCAGCACCGTCAGGGGATTCTCCATATCCATGCCTGCTGGAACCTCCCTTTGCCTCTGCTGTCCCCCTGACTTACCCTAGAGACCTGGCTGCCCGTCCAGAGGAAGGATGGAGTGAAGGGCTCCAGCCCCTTTACGCTGCAGATCCCATGTCCCTACAAACCATTCATTTCTGTGCTGGTCTAGCCAAGCATCTACATGGTCTGTGCACCACTCGAGAGTGGTGGACAGACCTGGACCAAGTCAAACCCCAGCTGCCTGAGGAAAAAAGGAAGCTGCCATTCGCTAGTTCCTGAATACTCTGAGAGAACCACAGGCCCTCCCCGGCCCCTCCACCTTCATTCTCACTCACAGACCACAACGTGACCAGATGGTGTTGCAAAACTGGATGGAGGGAGCGTCATGACATGAGCCCTGCTTCAGCCTTCTGGGAAGATGACAAACTGAGTCAAGGACCAAAGCCACCTCAATGCTAACGGTTTGGTGTAGACAGGCCAATGAGGAGACCACCACGCACCTCCTCTTTTTGTTAGGGAGGGGGAATACATACCTATATAATAAATATTATATAGCTATGTATATTATATATATATATACACATAAAGCAATGAAACATAACTGAGCTCTGTGTAATTATTCAAATCCCACATAAAATCCCACCTTCTACAGGAAGCCTTCCCCAGCCCCTCTTAATTCCAGGGCTTTCCTTCTGTCAATTTTTTCCTATCTATCCTGTATATAGATGATTTTGTATGTATTTGCTTGCATGTTGTCTCTCCCATTATATTATGAGCTCCTTGAGGGCAGGGACTGCCTTTTGCCTCTTTTTGTATCCCCAGAACTTAGCTTAGGTCCTGGCACATAGTAGGCACTCAATAAATGTTTATCAAATGAGTGAATAAATTATAACTAAACTTGAAGTTGAAGAGTCAAGAAAACACACCTCTCTCTTACAAAGGTGGGGTACCACCAGTGAGCTTTATTGCATGCACTATAATAATAATAGCTAACATTTATATAGTACTTACTATATGCCAGTCATTGTGCTAAGTGCTTTCCAATTATTATCTCATTTGATCCTCACAATAACTCTGGTAGATAGATGCTATTATTATCCCCATATTATAGATGAGGAAACTGAGGCAGAGGTTAAGTGATTTGTCCACGGTCACACAGCTAATAAGTGTCTAAAGCTAGACTTGAACTCAGGTCTTCCTGACTCTAGGCCCAGCACTCCATCTACTGCTTCAGCTGGCTGGTTTTGCTGGGCTGCCTTCCTTTTTCTTCTAAAATCACTGTGACAAGGGAGAGGGCACCAGTGAAGGATTTATTTGTAAACAAATATGATGTAAAAGCAAAAAGCATCACTAACTTTTTTTTTCATTTGAAAAGTAGATGTTGTGACATTCAGCTGTATCTTCCTACTGAGTTCTGTCCTTATCACATGGCATTCTTCCCCAGACTAGGGAGTCCCCCCTGTAATCTGCAGAATTTAGTTGTGTAGCATCTTCCCAATAAGGGTAAGGAGAGGTAAGGAGGAAGCTGGGAGAAGTCAGACTTCTCAGTGAGCAGATCCCAGATGTGAGCTCTACGTATTTCTTTCCTGCACACTCTGGGAGGTAGCCTGGGGGTCCTTCATGAAAAATCCACAGCCAATATGCCAAGCCAAACTCATTTCTAAGGCTATGTCCAGCTGGCCTTCTCTGGTCACTGACTCCCTAAAGGGGCGCCAGAGATCACTAAGTACTGTGTGGTGCTTTATTTCCAATACAGGTTAGACTGCACACAAGGATCCCAAGGGTTAGCCCGGGAGATTTCTTGTTTTGAACAACAAGGACAGTGTACAGGACTCCTTGTTCTTAGATTGTTCTCAATACACCCAGGATAATGAAACAGAGGGACAGACTTTGGCCTGGGAACAGTCCAACCTAACAGCTCAGCATTCCTCATTTAAAATGCATGGCCTCAATTATAGAAAAAAAAATGCAACCACAGTTTTCAGGTAAATACTCAACTTTCCTCCACCATTTAATGCAGGGTCTAGGAAGGTCAAACATCACAAGTGTTTTGCTGTAGGCACTGTCTCCTTCATGTTGATTTTTTAATTTGACTCTTCCTTAACTCTGCAGAGTTAAGAGAACTGCCTTGGAGGTGGAGACAGAAACAGCCCAGAAGTGACTGGGCCAGTGTGGTCTTTGGACTAATTTGTGTCTGAGAGTTTGGTTGATTGTTCCTGTCTCCTTAAGACAAAGTCTCAAGGCTGGTCCTGGGCTCTTTTCCTCTTCCTCTATACCATTTCACTTGGTGATCAGCTCCCAAGATTTCCAGTGGCATCTCTATGCCGATGACTCCCAGATCTACTCCTCCAGCCCTAATGTCTCTCTGTAGCAGCAGCCTCCATCCCCATCTGCCTGGGGCCATCTCAAATGGGATGTCCTGTGTATTTCACACAGTTGAACTCATAGGTTATTTCCCCCAAAACACCCTCCCTTTTCAATAACTTCCCTATTCCTCACTCAAGGGACCACCATCCCCCGCAGTCACATAGGCTCACAACCCCCCAGCCTCAACTCCACCTCTCACTGCCTGTGTCCAAGCTGTGGTCAAGTCCTGTCCATTTTACCTTCTCTCCTGACACGACCACCACCCTGGTGTAAAGGCTTCATCACTGCACCTGGACCAGAGCCTCGGCTGGGTCTCCTTGCCTCAAGGTTCTCCTCACCTCACTCAGTGGTCAGACTAATCTTTCTAAAGCACAAGTCTGATCATGTAATATACACCTCCATCCTCACTCAACTCCATGGCTCCCTATTACTCCCAGGATCAAATAAAAACTCCTCCTTTTGGTACTGAAAGCCCTTCCCTGCCTTTCTGGTCCTCTTACACCCCTCCAAATATCCTACAATCCAGTAACACTGGATTTATATGGGGAGACGATGTAATGTGGAGAGCAAAGCCCAACCTGAATTGTGAAGGACCAACTGAAGAAACTTCCCCTGGGTCAGAGAACTGGGAGGCGGGGTGGGAAGACGACCTGAGAAGGAGTATCTTTGGCCTGTTACACATAAGACTTGGGATTAAACTCGGTTCCTCTGGCCCCAAAGGGAAGAACTACAGCAAGGTGTGAAAGTTACAAAGACTCAGTTAGTCTTGGTTTCAGTTTGCTTTCTCAAAAAGTGAAGATAGCTCATTTGTTTCAGGCTCATCTGAGGTCTTCAGAGATTGGGTGTGTTATGGAGAGATTATCTGTGGCTCCAAGTTGGGTGAAGTGACTGCTGCAGCACCTTCCAACTCTGAGATTCTGTGACTTTGTGTTCCCCAAACTCTTGAATAGCTTGAAGACATTAGATGTGGACTCAGAAACTGTCCACATCCACACAGGATCAAAAAGGTCCTTTTCAACAAGCATTCATTAAACGCCCACCTGGCACTGGACTGGGTGACACAAAAACCCAGAATGAAACAATCCCTGCTCTCAGAGAGCTTACAATCAACCAGAGAAAACACAAAATAAATACAAGGTCATTAAGAGAGGTTGGCCATCAACAGTTGGAAGAGGAGAGCCAGGAAAGACTCCATGGAGGAGGTCTGACTCCCATGGAGGGGAGGAGAGGAGGGACAGCATTCCAGCCCTAAGAGAGGCCAGAGACGGCGGATTCTGTGTGTGAGGAAGAGAGAGAAAACCAGTTTGACTGAATCAAAGATGGTAGGAAGGAGAATGATTTATCAGCAGAGGCCAGGCCGCAAAGGAAGGGCTTTAAATGTCCAGCAACAAGAAAGCAATAAAAAAAATATTCAACTACGCATCCCTGGTAACCCAGACATACCACTACTAGGCCTATGCCCCAAAGTGATCAAAGGAAGAAATGGTGTACAAAATGTATGTACAAAAATATTTATAGTAGCTCCTTTTTGTGCTGGTAAAGAATTGGAATATGGTAGAACAAGTATATGAAAGTAATGTTATGGGACAGATATCTCCTCTTGAGATCATGTGGCCTTTCGATGCTGCTAAAAAAAATCTACCACAACTCAGGTATTATAGAATTGGAAACCTAGGTTTTTTATGCTTAAACTGGGTTCAGGAGGCAGAAAAATGACCCTGAACCAAGACTGGAGTTTCTGACAAGGCTTTATAGAGAAAATTCCATCAGAGACTGAGAAATATTTTTTAAAAATATATAACCATCTTCATGGCTTCTTAAGCCATACATAATGGTCACACAGGCCTAGTCAGACATTCATTATCTCATGCTTCCTTCAATTAAACTTGAATTAAGTTAGAACAAATTAGTAAACAGACTGTTATAGATTTAAACACCGAGTTTGCAAAAGCCTACATTTGCAAAACTATCAGGCTACATTTTAAAGAAGTCACAAAGGGTTAATTGAGGGGAAGAGATTTTTACATGTCACAAAGATAATCAAAGGTTCACTGTCATGGAAATTCTCCAACAAATAAAATCTTTTGGGAGGTTTTAAAAGATGCTGAAATTCTTCCTTCTCTCTCTCATTTGGTTTCTTGTCACAAGTATGTCAAAGGCTTCCCTTGATACTACCATTCCATGAATCAGGTTTTAGCCAGGTGAGGTTAATATTATCAGGAAATAGGATTCGGTTAGCCAAATGTTCCAGGAGGAATGGCTAAATAAAATTGAATAGAAGGAAAATGAAAACTTAGCATTACAGATGGATTACTATTGTGCCTTAAGAAATGATTCAAGGGAGAGTTTCAGAGAAACCTGTGAAGACTTGTGTCAACTGAGTGACGTGACCAGCCCCAGGAGCACCATCTGCCTCTTCGAACACTCTAGGGGCTTTAAGAAGTGCCTTACTGCTGCACCCTCCAGACCCCAGGGCCCTGTCATAGGAACTGTTGTGCACCCCAAGGATCCCTGGGCCTTGCTATCTGGCTGCAACAGGCCTCTTTTATAGCCATCTTCTCTGCCAGCTGGAGGGGGAATTCCTTGAGAACAGGGACTGTGTTGTTTTGTTTTATTTTATTTCCAACAGTAGTAAGTGTTGAATAAATGCCTTTTCATTCGTTCCTTCGGCTTGAAGACCTCTGTTTTCTCCTGTCTTGAAGAGGGGCCCACTTTTTTCCCATTCTCATTCAGGTGAGCTTGGCAAGCAGGTTCAGAGGATCTGAGACTTCCTGTTTCAAAGGAAGCATTTTCTCTCTCAACGCACCCTAGAAAGCCAGGTCCAGTAGAGCACAGGTAAAGCTACTGTTACTGTTC